GGTGAGAAATGTGAAAGACAGACGCCAGAGCTGTGGCAGCAACATGAATACGGTAGGGTTGAAGAATTCCAGAGAAGTGCAGGTCCGGGTGTGACCAGCTCCAAGGGCTGGCTCTGGCCTAGACAAATAAAGTACAGGTGAAGCATATGGTGAGTCAGGCTACAGGGGACACAGTCCACAGGGGCACTGGGCCAGAGGGCATTGCTGCAGAAAGTAGGCTGAGTAGACAGGCAAAGTCTTACTGCAGATAAAGGCTGACAGGTAAGAGCCATGAGAAGAGAGGAGGGTTAGAACAGGGCAAGCCTTAAAGAACCAAGATGTTTTTGCATAAAGATGGTACTAATTTCCTCTTAAAAATTTGTCATAAGAGAAATAATACAGAGAAACTACTCCAGAAAATAATAGTTATATTTCTATAAAGTTATTTCTTTTTTTCTTTTTCCTTTTTTTGGGGGAACTGGGGATCGAACCTAGGACCGTGCGCTTGCAAGGCAGGCTAAATCCCCAGTCCTCTATAAAGTGATTTCAAAGAAACTGAAAAAGCTAGGAATTATGTTAGAAACAAAATTATCTGTTATTTTTTTAAACAGAAAAATATTGAAGTATCAAAGTTACTTAGCTAGAACCTGATACCTGAGCCCCGAGAACAGGTTACACAACCTCATGAGCACATTATTAAGACATGTGAAGAGCAAAGGTCAAGAACAAGGAAATAAATATACGTCAGCAGATTTATTTATTGCATGAACATCCAACAGGAAAGGGCCCTAGGCAGATTAAAAGTAATCTACTCAAGTAACATGGAAATCAGTGCAAAGGATGTAATGGAATAGAACTTCTCAGATTACACTAACTTCTTAAAACCGCATCCTTATGCTCTGGGGATGAAGTGTCCAGAGTAGGCACAGTTGAAGTAGATCAGTGGTTGTCGGCCTGGGGCAGGGAGGTGGGGAGCAAAAGCTCATGGCCACTGGCTTTCTTTTTAAATGGTGGAAACTTTGGGAATTAAACAGCGGTGATGGTTGCACAACAGTGTGACTACATTAAAAACATTAAATTCTGTGAAGGGGTTTGTGTTATGCCTACTATAGCTCAATAAAACTACTATTAGAAAATAAACAGAAGCCCAATTCCTATAGTTCCATTCAGTCAGGGAGCTTAGGCACAAGGATCTTAGTTCCAGTCTGGCAACTCAGTGAGACCTGGTCTCAGAATAAGAAGTAAAGAGGACTGGGCATGTAGGTCCGTAGCATAGCACTTGCTTACCACGTATGAGGGCCTGCATTCAAGCCCCAGTATGAAAAAAAAAAAAAAAAATCATGTGAGATGACAAAATACAAACACTCAAAAGAGTAATTCTGGGACGCTTGGCATGCCTGTAATCCCAGCACTCTGGGAGGCTGAGGCAGGATGATCAGAGTTGAGCCCAGTGTAGGCAATTTACTAACTTGGCAAAACCTGTTTCAAAATAAAAACTGAAAAAAAGGTGGGGCTAATAGGTTAGCGCAATGATTAAAAAACATAAAGAGTCTGTAAGAGCCATATATTACCTGTAGCTGGGCATAATGGTGATGCTTATAATCCTGGCATTCTTTGAGGCTGAGACAGGAGGACTGCAGGTTTAAGCCCAGCCTGGGCAACATAGTGACTCAGCAAGACCCTATCTCAAAACAAAAAAGGGCTGGGGATTTGGATAGATGCACTGAGTTCAATCCCCAGTATCATTTAAGGTGTGGGGGGCTGTACATAGCTCGGCAGTCTCTCTGAAGAGCCTGCATGAGCCTCTGGGTTCAATTCCTAGCATGACAAAAAAAAACCAAAACCAAAAAACAAGCTATCTTGCTTCAGACAGGGTCTCCTTATGCAGCTCAGGCTGGCCCTGAACTCACTATGTACACGTGCTGCCAAAGTGTTATGGCTTGTATCTAGACATCTCCCTAAAGCCTCATGCAGTCATAGGTGGGGCTTGTTCAGAAGTGTCTGGATCTAGAATGTGTGACACTGGGATTATTATTCATGGTGCAGTGCTAGGCTCAAGGGCATTAGGATTAAGGGTGTGAGTACTACTTGCCCTAAGTAGCCTGAATGAGACATCAGGGCTAGAAATGGTTGCAGTTGACCCTTACTGCCAAGTAGTACTCACACCCTTACTGCCTTGTTACTGTCTGTCCACCATGAACTGTCTCTGCTCTGCAATGCCACTCCGCCCTGGAGCTGGCCGATTATGGGCTGAAACTTCCACAAAAACTGTGAGCTAAGTAAACCTTTCCTCCTTTAATTTTGGGAGTCAGATATTTTGTCTCAGCAAGGAGAGAAAAGTAAGACACCAAAGTGAGTACAATGAACTATGTAGCCCAGGCTGGCTTCCAACTCGGTACCACCCTCCTGCCTCAGGCTCCTGAGTGCTGGGTTTGCAGGAGTATAAAACCTGCAAGTGGACTCTCTGTAAGCTAATTTAGTAATTCCCTTGTAAATTCAAATAGTATTAAAAATATACAGAAAGCCAAATGACTTCATCACGTTTTGTATCTTAAATGTTCTAAGACAGTGCTGCTTTACAAACTTTCTCCCCTGAAATAGTTAGATTTTTTTTTCTATAGCCTTTAAAGTTTTGAAACTATGATGTCAATATCCTACTGTTGGGGGAGGCACCTGAAATATTTTAGGACTGGATGTATAGCAATTATAATTAGTGAACAAACCTTTTAGTTCTCAAAGTCCACAAAAATACACATTCAAGTTTCCTTTCCAGGAAAGTGACAACAGAAAAAAGGTTAAAACCATGACAAATAAGCCCAAAGTGGTGGCTCACACCTGTAATCCCAGCACTCGGTGGGCAGAGGCAGAAAGACTGCTATGAGTTCAAGGCCAGTCTGAATTATAGTGTGATACCCTGTCTCAAACCTCTGCCTCCCAAAAAACGAGACAAATATAAATATCCTGAACTAGCAAGACCCTGTCTCAAAAACAAACAAATTCTAAATTTAATCCCTAGTACAGGGCAGGGCTGGGGAGAGGGGAAGTGAGGAAAAAAACCAAACTGAGTATGACTTGCCAATGGTGAATTAAGAAAATTACAATAGACACACTTGATGATAAATTGCATCCTCAAAACACTAAGTTCTAAGCACTATAAAAGGAGAAACTTTTGAACACTTATTTAAACATTATTTGCTTAATAATATTTTGTAGAGAGATAATTTAAATGAGTTTCATCTAAGAGTGTAGAGAAATGAATCATTACTAAAGAATTCTAGTTTGTGGAGCCTGGAGTGATGTGGCAGTGATTTCCATTTCTGATAGACTGATCTTTATGACAAGTTGTGCTTGAATTTCTACTCCAGCACAATAATGCAAGGAAAATGAAGATTAAAATTTACCTTAAATTGCTCATCTTCACAATTACTGTACGACGCTTCTCTAACATTTCTAAAATGAGGAAAATCATTTCCTACAAATTCAGAAAGTGCCAATGAACTATGTTAAAATTTCATTTATTTATTTATTTATTTTCTTAGGGGCAGGGTGGTCTTGCTATGATGCCTTGGCTGGCCCCAAACTTCTGAACTAAAGTGACCTCTCACCTCAACCTCTGCAGTAGGTGGGGACTCCAGGTGCACATTACCCAAATTCTGTTTTTGCTCGCTTGCTTGGCTTGTTTGTTTGGTTTGGTTTTTCGAGACAGGGCTTCCCTATCTTAGCTCAGGTTGGCCTTGAACTCACTATGTAGTCCAGGCTGACCTGAAACTCCCTATGATCCTGCTTCAGCCTCCTGACTGTTGGGATTACAGGCACGGGCCAGCACAACTGGCTAGGAGTTCTAAAACTTTTAAAATTCAAAATAACCGGGCGCGTTGGTGTACTGCTGCAATCGAAGCACTTGGGAAGCCGAAGCAGGTAGATCACTGAGTTTGAGGCCAATCTGGGCTACACAGTGAACTCATAGCCTGAACCACACAGCAAGACCTTGTCTAACAACAACAACAACAACAACAAAAATTAAAATTCAAATATCCTGGTGACAAACACAGATCTTCTGAAGGGTTCGACAGCAGATACATACCGCTATGCTATGTTGGAAACACTTTTTTTTTTTTTTTGGTCTTTTTCGTTTTTATCGGTACCAGGAATCGAACTAACGACTGCCTGCTTGCAAGGCAGGCACTTATGCCGCTGAGCTAAATCCCCAGTCCTATGCTACGTTGGAAACTGTAAATATGATAGTATAGTACTGCTTTCCTTAAAGGTCTGCTGCGTGATAGGCAGTACCTTTCACACAGTTTATCATCAATAAACATTCTTTTCCTTCTTTCACCCACTTCAATGCAACTTATTCTCAACCAGTACTGTAGCACGGCACACGGATTTCTTCGGAGGAAGACAATGTAACATTGTGCTTGAGGGAAGAATGTACACACAAGGGTAGGTTGGATTTCTTCACCTTGGCTTGGCCAATATATCAACCCTTTAAATTTCTGATTAATTTGGTTCTCTTTCAGGTAATGATGCCAATGTTAAGTGTTTGAAAGCAAAATTCGATCGTGTGGGAAAATCTTGAACACTGTAAATTATGTCAGTTTCTCCCTAAGTGTTACCGATAGTTCTGCCACTCAACCCGGGCTCGGGCTCTGGCAAAACGTTAAGTACCACCCGGAGGGACGCTCAGTTTGTCTCTGCGCTAACTGGGAGCTCAAAATAAACCTGGCTCGTCATAGCCTCTCCAGCTGTCACTGATCCCCCTGGCCTTCACCCTTCCCGCTGAGGAAACTGAGGACAGGAGAATAGAGAGGCTCGGCTGCAGTCCTCCTGGTCTTCCTGAAATCAAGCGTCCCGCCCGGGGTCACAGAGCGGCGGGCGGCGAGCGGGGACAGGACCCGTCCTCCCCCGCTCACGGAGCCACGGCGGGGCCCCCGGGTGGGCCTAGGCCCTAAAGTCGCATCTCCCCCGCGATCCCCCAGCCGCCGCCCGCCGTCGCAACCTGAGGAGGCGCTGCCACTCACCTGCGACGGGAGCGAATGCAATTCCTCGCTTGACGTCGGCCCCGCACCCTCGGAGCAGAACAGCAGTGCGCGATGGCTGCCGTGGCCCCAGCTCGCTTCGGGTCCTTCCGGGCGGGCGGTGCCTCAGTGGCGAAGGTCCCCGGGCCGCGGCGCCGCGAGCGCTCAGTTCCGCCTCCTGGCGGTCCCACAGCCACCCCCAGAGCTGAGCGCGCCCGCCGGAGCCTCGCTCCTCGCGCCCCGCCCCCCGGACTGTGGGGACCTGCGGGGCTGTAGGGGGGGGGGGGCGCCAGGCGCCTGCGCTGGGGCAGTTATCTTCGTGATCTGCCTCTTAAAACTTTTGACACCTGCACTCCCCGGTGCTGGGACTAGAACATAGGGCCTCAGACGTGCTAGGCAAGCTCTCTACCACTGACTTACACCCTACATTTGTTTATTGTTTCCTATATGGGGAACTAAAGCCCAGGTCCTTCGCACTGAGCTACATTCCCCAGGCCTTTTAAAATTCTTTATTTAAGTTTGGGTTTTGAGACAGCATCTTGCTATTACTTGGGGTTCAGGTTGATTTCAAACTCACTATGTTGCCCCCCGCCCCCCAGCATCCTGAGATTACAGGTGTGTACCACCAAATCTGGCCACTTTTTTTTGAGAAAAGATCTCTCTGAATCACTTTCTAGGCCTCAAACTCACGGCAATCCTCCTGCCTCAGCCTCCCGAGGGCTGGGATTACAGCCCTGCACCTCCACACCATGAAGAATTTCTGTTTTGTTTTGCTTTTGGTACTGAGGATGGAACTTACGACCTTGCACTTAACAGGCAAGCACTTGAGCCACTGAGCTAAATTCCTGGCCGTAGAAATCCCAATTTCTAATGGTAAAATGTACAACTACTACTATGTTTTGAGTTCAGAAACAAAGTAAATCTATTTTTTATCTGAAATAAATATACATAATTATTTCTCTGAACAATAGCCTATAAAGCTATTTAAAACAACAAGAGAAAGCTCGCAATAGCAATTTATAGTACATGCATATCCTTTTACATTTTTTTTTAATCAAAGGCCTAGAGTCCACAGGCTTGTCCTCATCTCTCTTGTTCCTCAATTTAATTCTTTAATTCATTCAGTTTGAATTAATACTTTTAAGGCCCCAATGTAATGTGCTGAGTTCCTTGAGGCTTTTTTTTCTTTTCTGGCACTGGGGGTCACGACTATGCACTTGCAAGGCAGGCGTGCCAGCCCCTCCCTTGAGGCTTCTTAATTTACTTTTCCTTACCCTTTCCTTTTCTTCTGCCTTTCCAGTACTGGGGATCTAACCCAGGGACACTCCTGAGATACATCCCCAGCACTTTCTATTTTTTACTTTTAAACGGGTTCTCAATAAATTGTCCAGGCTGGCCTCAAACTTGTGATATCTCTGAGTAGCTGGGGAATGCATGAACCACCTTGCTGGGCCTTATTTTAAGAGTACAATTTAAACTGGGTGTGGTAGTGCATGCATGTGATCCAGGCAGTCTGAGAGGATGAGGCTGAGGGATCTTGAGTGACTTAGCAAGACCCTGTCTCAAAATAAGAAAACATTGAAAAGGGCTGAGGATGCAGCCCAGCGTGAAGGCCCTGGGTTCAATCCACAGGACACCGTGCACACAAAAGTGGCACTAAATATATTCATACTGTTGTGTGATCATCACTGCCATTATTTCCATAACTCATTTGTAAAATCAGGACTCTATGCGAATTAAATGGTAACTTCCTATTTCCTTCTCCAAGCATCTTGTAACCACCATTCCATTTGCCATCTCTGTAATTGTGAGCATTTTGAGTACCTCATGGAAGTGGAATTGTACTGTGTGTTCTTGTGACTTATTTCATTTACAGATATCATCAAGATTCATCATCCGCATCCCCAAAAAAACCCTCCCCTGACATGTTGCAGCATATACCGGAATTTCCTTCCATGTATGTATTTATTTAGGTTATTTGGGAAAGGATCTTGCAGTGTAGTTCAGTGAACTTGACCCAGTGCTCCTGCCTCAGCCTCCCAAAGTGATGGGGTTACAGGTTTCTGCTACTACATGCTGCCAAATTTTTTCTTTAAAATTGATGATATTAACCACAGTCTACAAAAGTGTTTTACTTGCTATAAGTCACAAGCCCAATATTTCTTTTTCTTTCTTATCGGTACCAGGGATCGAACTCACAACCACATGTTTGTAAGGCAGGTGCTTATGCCAGTGAGCTAAATCCCCAGTAACACAAGCCCAATATTTCTGATGGTTGCTATTGTTGCTATAAAAGTAATACACTATAATTACAAAAAGTTCAGAAGAAACAGAAAAATAAAATAGGAATAAAAAATCACCCTCAGGCAAATCTCAGATATTAATCCCAACAATCAGGAAGATCATAAATTTGAGGCCAGACTGGGTTACACAGTGAGTTTAAGGATAGCTTGGGTGATATAGGAGAACTTGTCTTTAAAAACCAAAATGGGAACAAAGGAAAATAAATACAAAAAACCCTCGCATAGGCAAGAGGATAATAACTTTGAGGCTAACCTGGGCTACATAGTGACTCTGGCTCAAGCCAGTTTTGTAAAACAATTAACATTAAAAACTTTAGCTAAGGGCCGGGTGATTTCGCTTAGGGGCATAAACGCCTGTTTCTTAAGTGCCAGGTTGTGAGTTTGACCTCTGGTACCAAAAAACAAAAAAATCTTTAGCTACACACTGTTTCAAAGACTGGCTCCAGCATTACTACATTATTAGCTACTTGATATTTTATTTCCTACATCTATAAAATGGGCACTAATATCCAAAAGGAACTATATAATGAGAAAATTATATACAAAAAGGAATAGCTATGGGAAAAATATCAGTCAATTATAGTACAACTGCGTAGACCTGGCCTGATCCAGCTGAAATCTCGGCTCCTGAGTTATAGAGTCCCCCTTTCTTTCTTTCTTTTTTTGGAGGGGAGGGTGCTGGGCTTGGACCCAGGCCCTTTGCACTGAGCTGCATCCCCTGCCTTTTCCAATTTTTTATTTTGTGAAGGGTTTTGCTAAATTGCCCAGGCTGGGCAATCCAGGCTGGGCAGTTGGCAGGCTAACTTGCCATCCTTCTGCCTCAGCCTCCTTGTGTGTGATTTTTTGATGTCGTTGTTTTCTTTTTCCAACACGGGAGCATGAATCATATTTTTGAACGTTTCCTGTAGCAGCAGCATGTGGGTTGTATTTGAACAAGTCAGAACTGGAACCTGATATGAATTCAGTAAGGAGGCTGCTGAGGTCAGCAGGGAAAGAGAAACAGGAAGTCACTTATGAGAAGCTAAAGATTGCAATCTATACAATTTCATGATTTATTGCAGGTGGTTAGCAGAGGTAAAAGAGGTATCAAAGTCTAAAGTTTTAACCTGGATTAATAAATACACTTCTCTCCAGTTTTACTACAACCAATTTATCATCTTTGCCCCCCAGTTAGAGCAAAATTCCATTCCTGGTTATTTTTCTCTGTAATCAATTATCCTCTTGATAGCTTCATTTTAAAACACGAATTAGGTCAATTTATTGCCCCGTGTACAATTCTTGAATCACTTCCCAAAGCCCCTAAATACCTTACAATGCCTTTTACACCTCTTGTGGGTCTGGCACTGTTACATCTCCAACCATATTTCCTATCACTGCCTTGCTCCAAGCCCATTTCCGCCTCTGGATCTTTGTGGGTGCTGTTCCCAGGTCTCTCAGAGCCTTTCTACTACAGATTGAACCCAGGAGATTCACACTGAGCTACATCTTTGGCTCTTTATTCTATGTATGTGGTACTAGGGATGGAACTTGAAGGCATTTAAAACATTTTTTTGTTGCTTTAATTTTGATTCAGGACCTTGTTAAACTGCCCAGACTGGATTCAAACGTTCGATCCTCCTGCTTCAGCCTCCCAGAGTGCTGGAATCACACATGTGCATTATCATACCTGGCTCCATCTTCTCTCTTTGTAAATCCAGCTTTATCATTTGGATCACAGCTTACTTGTCACCTCCTGTTCTAACATCTTGTCCAAACAAGACTCTTGCTTGCTAGTCTGTTGTAGTACTGATTCTTCAATTGGTAGTGCCTACCAAATTAAAAACTTTAAAAATACACTTATGTGTACCATATTTACATTTAGATTTTGTTCCCTCAAACTGTAACCTTCACTAAAGGAGGCTTGTCTGTCACATTTTCTTTTTTCCTGGTGCATGGCTACCTGGCTAGTACATGGAAGTCATTTACTAAATGTTTTTGGAATGAACTGAAGAATTAGTGAATGAAAGATCTGGTGAGATCATTTATCAGAAAATGTCATAAGCAGCAGGACTGTGCCTCATGCCTGTGATCCCTGAATTCTGGAGGCTGAGGCAGAACAATTGAAAGTTTAGTGAGATTCTGTCTCAAAATAATAATAATAAAAAAGACAGGGATATACCCCAGTTTGAAGACCTTAGGTTCAATCCCCAGCACTGAAAAAAAGTGTCATGAGAAAAAGATAGGTTTAAAGAGGAAGAGTGTCTCACACCTCTAATATTGTGATGTTAAGATATGTGTAGAGGGAGATCATTAGAGTTAAAAAAGTACAAAGAGAGTTTTTTTTTTGTTTTGTTTTGTTTTTGAGACTGGGTCTCATCACGTAGTTCAGGCTGGTCTGGAACTCAGTACATAGCCCAGACTGACCTCAAACACATAGTGATCCTCCTGCCTCAGCCTCCTGAGTGCTGGAATTACAGGTGTGCACCACCATGTCCAGCCTAAGAGTTGGTATTTGATACTGTACAATACGCTCGCCCTGCCCAGGGAAGATGGGGTTGGACCAGGAGCTAAAACCATTTCAACTACACTATTAGGGCTGTCTCACGTGGCACAGAAAATGGCAAATGAGTTAAGACCCTAAGAGGACTAGAGAACAACACAGATTAAAAACAAGTGCTAGTGATATGTTTAAGCTAAAAGTGCAAAAGGAACTTATAAGAGGGAATTAGAGCCAAAATTGGAGCACACACACACAAATCCTAACACTAGGAGAGATGACACTGTAAATGTATTCATTCAAAATACATTTGAGGGTAGGGCTCAGCTGTAGAAGGCTTGCCTAGCATGCCCTGGGTTTGATCCTCAGCCCTGTACTCACC